CTGGTTTTGACCTACAAAACCCTATACGGTTCCGGTCTAGCGTATCTGTCCGAACGCATCTCCCTCTACGTCCCACCCCGGAGTCTGAAATCATCTGGGGAGGCCCTGCTCTCGACCCCACCGCTATCACAAGTGAGGTTGGTGGGGACAAGGAGCAGGGCCTTCTCAGTGGTCGCCCCTCACCCACGGAACTCACTCCTGGGGGAAATTAGGTCATCAGCATCCCTCCTCTCCTTCAGGAGGAAATTAAAAACGTGGTTGTGGGACCAGGCCTTCAGGCAATCTGACAACTAGATAAAAACAACTAGACGACTAGGACTGACAGGACTGACAAAGTGGAATTGGAATTTGGACTATGAGATGGCGAACGCTGAGCATTAATTAGGTGAAATCGGTTTTATTGGTTTTATTGTTGTAGTGCAGAAACTGATTGTTAATTGTTTAATTGCTGCTATATTGTTTTTATTCTACTGTTATGTTGATGCCGGCATCGAATTGTGCCTTTGTAAGCTGCCCTGAGTCCCCCTCTGGGGTGAGAAGGGCAGGGTAGAAGTAACCGAAATAATAAATAAATAAATGTGTCCAGAGGAGGGCGACTAAAATGATCAAGGGTCTGGAGAACAAGCCCTATGAGGAGCGGCTTAAGGAGCTGGGCATGTTTTGCCTGAAGAAGAGAAGGCTGAGAGGAGGCATGATAGCCATGTATAAATATGTGAGAGGAAGCCACAGGGAGGAAGGGAGCAAGCTTGTTTTCTGCTTCCTGGAGACTAGGACGCAGAACAATGGCTTCAAACTACAAGAAAGGAGATTCCATCTGAACATGAGGAAGAACTTCCTGACTGTGAGAGCTGTTCAGCAGTGGAACTCTCTGCCCCGGAGTGTAGTGGAGGCTCCTTTTGGTCAGAGTGATCTTAATGCAGCTGACACTCAGCCAGCTGCGCCACAATCCCGGTGCCACCACTTGCTTAACCCTTCAGTGGATGTGTGTGTGACCACATGTCTATTAGAACTGTATTTTTCCAATGCACAATGGAGTCACAGACAATACATTTCAATCTACTTAACAATTATCTCTCTGAATCATCCTAAAAGACACATTTCTGGGTTCTTCTCAAACTTATTAGTAATCCCTTTTGTTTGTTTCCTTCATCACATTTTCTCAACAATCCAAGTTATCTAAAGTTCAGTCCTCAAGGACAGGGCAATTCCTGTGTAACTGGGAATCTTGCAAAGGATGTTAGGAAATGTGGGTGTTGCCTGCTTTTGGGTTTTCGAGGCGGCTCCGTTTTTGTGCCAAAGCGCATTCTCAGAATTGCTCAACGAAGACTTATCTTATCTCTTGAGGAGCTGCTTTAGGTGTTTGTTTCCTGTTCTTCGGCATAGGTCCTCTGGATACTTTCCAATGTGAACATTGTTTGCAAAACCAGCAAGTTCAAAATGAGTACCAACTCTTAGAATCCTAGAGTTGGAAGAAACCTCGTGGGCCATCCAATCCAACCCCATTCTGCCAAGAAGTAGGAAAATCCATTCAAAGCACCCCCGACAGATGGCCATCCAGCCTCTGTTTCAAAGCCTCCAAAGAAGAAGCCTCCACCACACTCTGGGGCAGAGAGTTCCACTGCTGAACGGCTCTCACAGTCAGGAAGTTTTTCCTTGTGTTCAGGTGGAATCTCCTCTCTTGTAGTTTGAAGCCATTGTTCTATTGCGTCCTAGTCTCCAGGGCAGCAGAAAACAAGCTTGTTCCCTCCTCCCTAGGACTTCCCGGCACATATTTATACATGGCTATCATGTCCCTTCTCAGCCTTCTCTTCTTCAGGCTAAACATGCCCAGCTCTTGTTCTCTTTGCTTCCTTCTTTTTGTTATGTAATATTAGTTTGTGGGATTAACAGAACTCAAAAACCACTGGGCGAATTGACACCAAATTTGGACACAAGACATCTAACAACCCAATGTATGTCCTTCACTCAAAAAAATTGTCATTTGGGAGTTGTAGTTGCTGGGATTTATAGTTCACCTACAATCAAAGAGCATTCTGAACCCCACCAACGATGGAATTGAACCAAACTTGGCACACAGTTCTCCCATGACCAAAAGAAAATACTGGAAGGGTTTGGTGAGCAGTGTCCTTCAATTTTGGAGTTGTAGTTCACCTACATCCAGAGATCAATGTGGACTGAAACAATGATGGATCTGGACCAAACTCTACACGAACACTCAATATGCCCAGATGTGGACACTGGTGGAGTTTGGGGAAAATAGAATCTTGACATTTGGGAGTTGTAGTTGCTGGGATTTATAATTCACCTACAATCAGAGCATTCTGAACCCCACCAACGATAGAATTGGTCCAAACCTCCCACACAGAACCCCCATGTGGGCCACAGCAATTAATATGTAATTAATATGTTGTGGTTTTTAACTTTGAATGTGTTTTAATAATTTTTGAATACTGTTTTTGGTGTAGGGCGCAGACACCCATGATGATGCGGCATGTCTCATTCAGAGCCACATCCACTGTATTAGCGTGGTGAGATGTGTTCCACACTGGGCATGCGTACTCAGCAGCAGAGTAGCCTAGCGCAAGGGCAGATGTCTTCACTGTGTCTGGTTGTGATCCCCAGGTTGTGCCAGTCAGCTTTCGTATGATATTGTTTCTAGCACCCACTTTTTGCTTGATGTTCAGGCAGTGCTTCTTGTAGGTCAGAGCACGGTCCAGAGTGACTCCCAGGTATTTGGGTGTGCTGCAATGCACCAGTGGGATTCCTTCCCAAGTAATAATCCTCAGAGCTCGGGATGCTTGTCTGTTTTTGAGGTGAAAAGCACACGTCTGTGTTTTAGATGGATTAGGGATCAGCTGGTTTTCCCTGTAATAGGCAGTAAGAGCACCTAGAGCTTCAGAGAGCTTCTGTTCTACCATCTCAAAGCTCTCTGCTTGAGCGGTGATGGCACGATCATCAGCATAGATGAAACTCTCTGTCCCTTCTGGCAGTGGCTGGTCATTTGTGTAGATGTTGAACATGGATGGGGCAAGCACGCTCCCCTGATGCAGGCCATTCTTCTGTTTCCGCCATCTGCTTCTCTGGCACTGGAACTCAACAAAAAAGCCCCTGTTTTGTAGCAGGTTTCCTATGAGGCGGGTGAGGTGGTAGTCCTTTGTGATACTATACATTTTTCTAAGGAGGAGGCGGTGGTTCAGAGTATCATAGGCTGCTGACAGGTCTATGAAGACAGCTCCTGTGATCTGCTGCCTTTCAAAGCCATCTTCTATGTGCTGAGTCAGGTTCAGCACTTGCGATGTGCAGCTTTTGCCTTTCCTGAAGCCAGCTTGTTGTGGAATCAGACAGGGGTCTATATTTTCCATAATTCTATGCAAAATAAGTCTCTCCAGAACTTTGTAGAGGTGGCACAACAGGGAGATTGGTCTGTAGCTTTTTGGATCATTATGGTCTTTGCCTGGCTTCAAGATGGCAATGACTCTTGCTTTCCTCCAGATTTTGGGGATCCGACAGGATGCAGTGCAGTTGTTCATCAGCTCCAGCAGCCAGCGCTTGCTTTGGGACCAAAGTTCTTGATTTGTTCCATCCATAGCTCATCCAGGCCAGGTGCTTTGCCATTCTTACATTTATTGAGAGCCATGTCCAATTCAGTAGATGTAAATGGTTCACATCTACTTGCACAAATGGCAGAAGCAGTGCTGGAAAGTCTATTTATTCTTGTGTTCAAGAACAGGTTGTTCAAGTTGAAGCCAAGAATGGAGCCAAAGGAAGGAAGAGAATGACATAAAAGAAAGGGATTCATCCAGGGGGTAATTAAAAGCCCACTTCCTAACAATTTTAGGCTTGCAATCCTTATAGCAGCTGCTTTAAATTATCCAAAACAAGGAGGGTGGAGTTGCAGTGGGGGAGTTACTTACAGTATTTCCATTGGAAGACTACACTCTGCCGCCACCTGCTGCCTCAAGTATGGAACTGCAAGTGGGGCCTTTATGTCACTTATTTAGCTTGGTTACTCACATGCTAATGCAGTGTTTCTCAACCTGGGGGTCGGGACCCCTGAGGGGGTCATGAGGGGGTGTCAGAGGGGTCGCCAAAGACCATCAGAAAACACAGTATTTTCTGATGGTCATGGGGATTCCATGTGGGAAGTTTGAGCCAATTCTATGGTTGGTGGAGTTCAGAATGTTCTTTGATTGTAATGAACTATAAATCCCAGCAACTACAACTCCCAAATGTCAAGATCTATTTTCCCCGGACTCCACCAGTGTTCACATTTGGGCATATTGAGTATTCATGCCAAGTTTGGTCCAGATCCACCATTGCATGAGTCCACAGTGCTCTCTGGATATAGGTGAACTACAACTCCCAAACTCAAGGTCAATGCCCATCAAACCCTTCCAGTGTTTTCCATTGGTCATGGGAGTCAAGTTTGGTTCAAATCCATCGCTGGTGGAGTTCAGAATGCTCTTTGATTATAAGTGAACTATAAATCCCAGCAACTACAACTCCCAAATTACAAAATCAATCCTCGCCCAACCCCACTAGCATTCACATTTGGGTGTATTGGGTATTTGTGCCCAGTTTGGTCCAGTGAATGAAAATGCATCCTGCATATCAGATATTTACATTATGATTTATAACAGTAGTAAAATGACTGTTATGAAGTAGCAATGAAAACAATATTATGGTTGGGGGTCACCACAACATGGGGGACTGTATTAAGGGGTCACGCCATTAGGAAGGTTGAGAACCACTGTGCTAATGGATGAATTTGCAAATTAGACTTGCTTATTGCACTCTTTGCATTGGTTAATAGACAATGGTTCTTTCCTCCCACTGAGGACATTCCACAGGTGTATACACTCCACTTGTTTTACCACCATCAGATCCTCTGAACATGCCAGTCACAGATGCAGGCGGAACGTCAGGATAAAATGCTGCCAGAACGTATTAGCCAGGCATGTTGTTCCATATTCATCTTTCTCTCTATTGCTGTTTTGTAGCATCACCCCCAAGGATTTGAAGGCAATGTTGCCCCAAGCCAACTATCGAGTCCCTAATATGAGATCCCTGAGAGACAAACTTACGGTAAGAATACCTCCCTCCGTATCCTTCTCTTCATTTTCCCCCCAGTATATATAGTCTGTTCTGCAAGAAGAAAGGGCCAGGCCTTAGCACAGCTGAGCAATAGATCACCAGCAGCTGTTGGGGTTCAGCCTGTGCGTGAACCTGAACCTGATTCTCTGATTGTATTTCCTGATGCCAATGAAGATTTATTTGTTTATTTGTTTACTTCACTTGTATACCGCTCTTCTCAGCCATCAGGCGACTCAGAGCGGTTAACAACCAGTATCAGCAACACGGTACAAAATCATTAGTCATTTAAAACAGTCATATCAATTAATTAGCATCAAAAATATCAATACAACAATACAGCAAAACAACAATCCATCACGTCTCATCAGTAGAATCAGCATCCGATCTCGTTGTCCATTAATCCATATTCCAGTAATCAATCAATTGCACTGTTTAGTTAAACGCGTGTTCGAAGAGCCAGGTCTTCACTCTCTTCCGGAATGCCAATAAGGAGGGGGCTGATCTAATGTCTGTAGGAAGGGCGTTCCACAGCCGAGGGGCCACCACTGAGAAGGCCCTGTCTCTCGTCCCCGCCAGGCGTGCTTGTGAGGCCGGCGGGACCGAGAGCAGGGTCTCCCCAGACGATCTTAACGTCCTAACTGGTTCATAGGAGGAGATGTGTTTGGACAGATAGGTCAGGCCAGAACCGTTTAGGGCTTTAAAGGCTAAAGCTAGCACTTTGAATTGTGCCCGGTAGCAAATTGGCAGCCAGTGGAGCTGGCGCAACAGAGGAGTTGTGTGCTCCCTGAGTGCCGCTCCTGTTAGCATCCTGGCTGCCGAACGTTGGACCATTTGAAGCTTCCGAGCAATCGTCAGAGGCAACCCCACGTAGAGAGCGTTGCAGTAGTCTAAACGGGATGTAACCAGAGCGTGGACTACCGTGGTCAAGTCAGACTTCCCAAGGTACGGGCGTAGCTGGCGCACTAGTTTTAACTGTGCGAATGCTCCCCTGGTCACCACTGAAACCTGGGGTTCCAGGTTCAGCGATGAATCCAGGATCACACCCAAGCTGCGAACCTGCGTCTTCAGGGGGAGTGTGACCCCATCCAACACAGGCTGTAACCCTATTCCCTGTTCGGCCTTACGACTGATCAGGAGTACCTCTGTCTTGTCTGGATTCAATTTCAATTTGTTCACCCTGATCCAGTCCGTCACAGCGGCCAAGCACCGGTTCAGGACCTGAACAGCCTCCTTAGAAGAAGGTGGAAAGTAGTGACAGAGTTGGACATCATCCGCGTACAGATGGCATCATACCCCAAAACTCCGGATGATCTCTCCCAGCGGCTTCATGTAGATGTTAAACAGCATGGGAGACAGTATTGAACCCTGAGGAACCCCACAAGACAATGGTTGTGGAGAGCGACCCTCTAGAAGATGTCAATTCTGAGGTCAATGTGTTAGATGGGTTGGGGATCAGCTGGTTTTCCCTGTAATAGGCAGTAAGGGAACCTAGAGCTTCGGAGAGCTTCTGTTCAACCACCTTAAAGCTCCCTGCTTGAGCAGTAATGGCACGATCATCAGCATAGATGTAGCTCTCCATCCCTTCTGGCAGTGGCTGGTCATTTGTGTAGATGTTGAACATGGATGGAGCAAGCACGCTCCCCTGAGGCAGGCCGTTCTTCTGATTCCGCCATCTGCTTCTCTGGCCCTGGAACTCAACAAAAAAGCTCCTGTTTTGTAGCAGGTTTCCTATGAGGCGGGTGAGGTGGTAGTCCTTTGTGATATTATACATTTTTTTCAGGAGGAGGCGGTGGTTTACTGTATCATAAGTAGGCAGTAAGGGCACCTAGAGCTTCGGAGAGCTTCTGTCCACCACCTCAAAGCTCCCTGCTTGAGCAGTAATGGCACGATCATCAGCATAGATGAAACTTTCTGTCCCTTCTGGCAGTGGCTGGTCATTTGTGTAGATGTTGAACATGGATGGAGCGAGCACGCTCCCCTGAGGCAGGCCGTTCTTCTGTTTCCGCATCTGCTTCTCTGGCCCTGAAACTCAACAAAAAAGCTCCTGTTTTGTAGCAGGTTTCCGATGAGGCGGGTGAGGTGGTCGTCCTTTGTGATATGATAGATTTTTCTCAGGAGGAGGCGGTGGTTTACGGTATCATAAGCCGCTGACAGGTCTATGAAGACAGCTCCTGTGATCTGCTGCCTTTCAAAGCCATCTTCTATGTGCTGAGTCAGGTTCAGCACTTGTGATGTGCAGCTTTTGCCTTTCCTGAAGCCAGCTTGCTGTGGGTCTATTTTTTCAATATAAAAATAAAATCCCACTAATACACATATTAAAATATATTTCTATATAAGGTGCAGATTCTAAAATGTATTTCTATAAAATACATATTAAAATGCACAAAACAGAGATGAAGCAAAGGACACGAATTTAACATACATGCTTAAAACTGGCTGCTTAGGAAATACTATGTAGGTGCAACATATACTGTTTCTTGTACAGAAAAAAAATCCTGTTGTGATGGATTTATTGTGGAAAAACAACAACAATATCTTGCACAGAAAAACAGCGGAAATGTGTAACTGCAGATAACCTGGTCCAGAAAGCTGTGTTGAGACAAGCTTCGTTGATCCTTGTTTACTTTCCCGGAACAGGAAGTGGAAGTCCGAAATGAAATCACCTTCAGCCACTTTGCACACTTCTATAAGAACTTGATGTTTGATGCCCAGAAATCGGTAAGAATTCCTGTAATGGATTGAGAGCCTTGTGGAAAATATCCACCTTTTTAAACAGCTTCTTTCAGTTTTCTATCTCCTCTTTGTATGTCTGTGTGCTTTCACATTTATGGCGACACCACACCAGAGTCCAGTAGTTCTATCGAAAAATGTTTATTGAAGAAAGTAAGTGAAAAGGGGCAAAAGGGAGGCATTTCCACAAAGGAATCAGCAGAATAGGGAATACAAAAGAGCTTACTTACTTACTTAGGCGATCCCTCATTGTCCGAGAAAGATTGTTCTTCAAATTTGGTGTCCTGGCGATGGGTACATATTCTTGACCTGCATCGTCTCCCGCCCTGAAGGCATTGGTTTCCAGGTGGAAGGCGGTCTCGGTCAGGGTTGGCTTGACATGCCTTCCTCTTGACACGTTTCTCCCTTTCACCCTCCATTCGTGCCTCTTCAAATTCTACAGCACTGTTGGTCACAGCTGACCTCCAGCTGGAGTGCTCAAGGGCCAGGGCTTCCCAGTTCTCAGTGTCTATGCCAGAGTTTTGCTTTGAGCCCATCTTTCAGTCTTTTTTCCTGCCCACCAACATTCCGTTTTCCGTTCTTGAGTTCGGAGTAGAGCAACTGCTTTGGGAGATGGTGATCAGGTACCCGGACAACATGGCTGGTCCAGCGGAGTTGATGGTGGAGGACCATCTCTTCAATGATGGTGGTCTTTGCTCCTTCCAGCACACTGACATTTTGTCACGTTGCCAGGGCTCTGCCTTATTTAGGTAGAGATGAATCAAACTCCCAGTTTTATCAAACAGTTTAATTAAAACAGCACTTACTTGCCGGCTGTTTTAATAGACCAAAACATAAAACATAAAGATAGCACTCAGCCACAGAATGAACAAAAACTGATAGCAAAAATAACTTCGTAGTCAAAAGGGTCCAGTCCAATGGTCAAGTGCAGAGAGTTCAATAAACAAAGTCCAGGGATCAAGAGTCTAAACCGTAGTCAAAATCCAGTCCAAAGGTTCAAAGTTCCAGGGTTCCAAGATTACAGGAGACAGGCGAGGATACCAAAAATCCAACAAACCTGGAGGAGGGGGGGGGGGGGGGAACCAGCAGCAACCACCACCAAAATGCAACAGATGCTTTTCTCCCAAAGATAAGTCTCAAAGTTACCTTCAATGCTGGTGGTCTTTGCTTCTTCCAGCATGCTGACGTTTGTCCGCCTGTCTTCCCAAGAGATTTGCAGGATTTTCCGGAGGCAGCGCTGATGGAATCGTTCCAGGAGTTGTATGTGATGTCTGTGGACAGTCCATGTTTCACAGACATATAGCAGGGTTGGGAGGACAATAGCTTTATAAACAAGCACCTTGGTCTCCCTACGGATGTCCCGGTCCTCAAACACTCTCTGCTTCATTCGTAAAAATACTGCACTCGCAGAGCACAGGCAGTGTTGTGTTTCAATGTCGATGTTGACTTTGGTGGAGAGGTGGCTGCCAAGGGAGCGGAAATGGTCAACATTTTCTAATGTGCCACCATTAAGCTGTATCTCTGGCATTGGAGAAGGGTTGGCTGGAGACTGCTGGAAGAACACTTTGGTTTTCTCAATGTTCAATGACAGGCCGAGCTTCTCGTACGCTTCTGCGAAGGTGTTTAGAGTGGCTGGTAGGTCTTCATCTGAATGCACACAGGCGACATTGTCATCAAAGCAGCATAACATAAAAGCATTAGCATGCTATTTAAAATATTCAAATAGGTAAACATGGAAATAATTAAATATAATCAGTATTAAAAATAATATTAGGTTACGTCTTAATAGATGGTGCCTTAAAATTGATGAAATATAGTATAAGTATTTCAAAAATCAATAGTATCCATCTGAAAATGGTCTGAAATCCTAAACAAGGAAAGGTATAAAAGTGTGAACAAGAATGTGGTTTTAAAAAGTTGGTTAAAATCTGCACACAAACTCATGTATGCTTCATTTATACCTTATTATGCACATATCACGAGAGTATTTTTATATGCAATGTTTTTAACAATTTGGTGCAGAAAAGAAAAATTGTGTCCTGTACATTGAGCCGTCTGGATTTTGGAGTTGATAATAAAGGATCCTCAGCCTGTTCAAAGAGCTCATCCTCTCCATTTTAAGCTTATCATCCCATTGAGCTCTTAAAAGTGTGAATCGATAGACACTTCCAGCTTGGTTTTACCAGTCCGCTTCCAGCCGTCTTGCTAAACTGCTTGTGTTGCTCCTTTGCTTTTGCAGATCATTGAGCAGCTGGAATTGTCGTTCCCTTTACGGTAAGTAAGTCTGACGAGACGGATGTCTTCCCGTTCAGACCTTTCCTTTTGTTGAGCAAAAGAAGTAGACCATTTCCTGCCTCTTTTGTGTCCACGTTCACATGGGAAGGGCGGCGCGGAACAGGAAGGGTGTTGGCAAATGAGTAGATTCACAGGAGCAAAACAAAAGATGACAACAGGCCACAAAACAACAGAGTTCTAGAGACCGGACGTCTTGGTTCAGCATCCCCTTGGAGACATGGATGAGTTCTAGTCATGGATGGGTTCTAGAGCAGGCATTGATGGGTTCTAGATCAGTCATGTGTGTGTGCTCTAGATCAAAATGGGCAAGCTTGGGCCCTCCAGGTGTTTGGGGGTTCAACTCCCACAATTCCTAACAGCCTACCGGAGGGCCCAAGTTGTCCCATGCCTGATTTGTTCATACTTGTGCAATTTTTAGTGACAATTGCATCTCTCTTGAACTGTCTTCTCAGAAATGTGGACCGGCCAGAACTCTGCCAGATCACATTGTATGACTTCCAGAAGTTCCTGCAACATGATCAGAAGGTAATAATAATATGATAACATACTCTTATTTATATTCCACTCTATCTCCCCAATGGGACTCGGAGTGGATTACAGGTACATATATGGCAAACATGCGATGCTGTTACACAGTTGTCAGAGACAGACAGTACACAAAGAGAGGCAATGTCGGAACCCAGATGCCTTAAAGAGCCAGACTCAGGAGTATGTCCAAAACAATAGTTTATTAAAGCAAAGTAAACAGGACTCAGAGACACCTGCTTCAGTGCCTCTGGTCAAAACTCAAAGTTTGCAGCAATTTGCAACTTGAAAAACGAACTCAAAAAATAAACCGGATTAAACTGGCAAAAAATCCGGATTAAGCAAGAGTTCTTCCAAAACACACCAAAATCACACAGTTCAACAGTAATAAGCAAAGAGCCGTGAAGAGAAGCCGTCGTCCAGAAGCAGTCCAAAGTCGAAAAGATCCCAGTTGAAAGTTCCAAAGGCCAAGAGGCAGCATCGTCGTTAAAAACAGTCCAAAGTCAAGGAGAGGGGAAATCCGCACTTACGATAATCCAAGCTGGTCGGTACACGAAGTAAGCAGCAACCTGCAGATCCAGGACCCAAGCCCAATAAGAGAGCGGCAGCGACAAGACCCAAGGCACGAAACCAACACTTTGCCTACTGCAAAGTTCTGTCACTCCAGTGCCTTCATTTATCTTACAACTCATCATCCGTTGATGAGCTACCCTCCACCCCATCCTCATCACTGTCAGCTGGCTTAGCCTCTACAGCTGAACGCCAATGCCCATCCCTCCAACTCTTCCACCTTTTGTCAAGACTTAGGTCTCCCCACGATTCCATGGTATCACCAGATTGCCAATCCCCGCCACCAGAAAACCCCTCAAAAGTGTCACTGGACGTTGGTTGAGTACACACATTCCGAATCTCCTGAACCTTGGTCCAATCCAGTGGTTCCTCTTCATCCCCACTACCCCCAGACCCATCACTCCCAGAAAAGCCCATGAAATCCTCTTCCTCTGTGGGAGCAGTAAGTATGTCCCGGATCTTCTTTCTCTGACGCTCCTCGTCTGACTTCTGCTCTCGAGTAATCCTCTTAATACCTCTATTCCCATCTGTATCTCCTTCCTCCTCCTCACTCATTTCACTCTCGGAGAAACCTTCAAAGGATTCTTCATCAGTGGGTGACATAAGTATCTCCCAAATTCTCTTCCTTTGCTGGTCTTCATCTAACACCTGGGCGCCTCGTTTCCCTCCTCTACCACTCCTACTACCAGTTGCAGCATTGCCAACAGACTCTACTACAACAGGCAAAGGCTTCCCCCTTTTAGTCTCTGACATCCGGCTGTGCTTGAGTCGGAGAATATTGACAGGACATATAGGATACAAACTGTCACACCTCAGAGTAGATTCACATTGCTGAAAACACCAAACTGCACACAGCCAGAAGTCTTTATAGTTTATTAAAAATAAAAGGTAAAAATGTATTGTCGAAAGCTTTCATGGCCAGAATCACTGGGTTGTTGTAGGTTTTTTTGGGCTATATGGCCATTTTCTAGAGGCATTCTCTCCTGACGTTTCGCCTCCATCTATGGCAAGCATCCTCAGAGGTAGTGAGGTCTGTTGGGACTAGGGAAGTGGGTTTATATATCTGTGGAATGACCAGGGTGGGACAAAGAATTCTTGTCTGTTGGAGCTAGGTGTGAATGTTTCAACTGACCACCTTGATTAGCATTAGTGTGGAGAGGAGCAAACCACTGACCACCTGCTGCAATGCAACCTGAGCCCTGCCACATGCACAATGGAGGACCTTCTTGCAGCAACACCAGAGGCACTCCAAGTGGCCAGATACTGGTCAAAGGACATTTAATCAACTACCAAACTCACAAATTTTGTATTTTGTCTGTTTGTTTGCTTTGTTCTGTTAGAAATGTAATATAATTGACTGGCTGTCCTGACACGACAAATAAATTAGCATTTGATGGCCTGGCAGTGCCTGGGGCAATCTTTTGTTGAGAGGTGATTCGATGTCCTTGTTTGTTTCCTCTCTGTTGTTTTGCTGTTGTAATTTTAGTTTTTTAGTACTGGTAGCCGGATTTTGTTCATTTTCATGATTTCCTACTTTTTGTTGAAATTGATTCGCGCCCAAACACGAATCAAGGAACATGAAAGGCACTGCAGACTACTTCAACCAGAGAAGTCAGCCATAGCAGAGCACCTGATGAACCGACCTGCATACAGCATATTATTTGAGAACACAGAAATGCTGGACCACTCTCACAACCACCAGGTCAGACTACACAGAGAAGCCATTGAAATCCACAAGAAGCATGTGGACAATTTCAACAGAAAGGAGGAAACCATGAAAATGAACAAAATCTGGCTACCAGTATTAAAAATCTCTACAATACTTCCAAATCAGGAACAATTTAGCTCAGCCTTTCCCAAGCCCTAATCTAGATCTTCCTGTAACACTTAACATTTCCCTCCTTTAGGAGCCATGGGCAAGTGACATTGCTAAAGTCCGGGAGCAGATGTGCAACTACCTGCGGGATCCTTTCAGCGACATGGCAGAGCCTGTGTTCCAGTTGGATGAGGTGGGTGATCAACACTTTTGCAATACTGGATTGTTGTGGGTTTTTCGGGCTGTATGGCCATATTCTAGAAGCATTCTCTCCTGACTTTTTTTGCAGTTGTTAGTGCAAATAGAGGAAAGGACTTCCAATGAACTTGCATCACAAGTTATATGAACAGATGCCTCCAATGTTCTAGATCAAGAATGGGCCAACTTGGGCCCTCCAGGTGTTTTGGACTTCAACTCCCACAATTCCTAACAGCCTACTGGCTATTAGGAATTGTGGGAGTTGAAGTCCAAAACATCTGGAGGGCAGGAGTTTTTGCCCACACTTGATCTAGAACATGACCATATCAGATATGGAACCCACAAGAGAACAAATCTAGGAATAAGCACCATATAATCTAGAACCTACCCATGTGTCTGATGTACAGCTACACAGAGGTTCAACCCGGAAGCCACCTGTAATCCGGCTAGAGCACCCAACCCAACATAGAACCCAGCAATCTCTGATCTAGAACCAGCCAACACCTGATCTAGAACTGGGCCATCCATGATCTGGAACCTCCCCCATTACCATAGCCTCTCCCAGTTTTCTAAATGCACTTTCCCTCCCTCCACCACAGTTCCTGACGTTCCTGTTCTCCAGAGAAAACATGGTCATGGACTCCAAGTACGAGCAAGTGGCGCCCGAGGAAATGAATTACCCCTTGTCTTACTACTGGATCTCCTCTTCTCATAACACGTAAGAGTTTCCCCCAGACCTGTAGATTGTGGCAAGTGAAGCAGATAGAGTTTGGGGAATTGTGGGAGCTGAAGTCCAAAACATCTGGAGGGGAGGACCAAAGTTGGTCCATACCTGGTACTAGATATAGTGTTTTGTAACGACCTGTGCGCCAAAGGCAAATAAAACTAACCTGAGTTTCACCCTCTTTCATGTGCAGGTACCTCACTGGGGACCAGTTCTCCAGCGAATCCTCCCTGGAAGCCTACGCTCGCTGCCTCCGGATGGGATGCCGCTGCATTGAGTGTGAGCCTGACTTTGGGCATTCCAAGTCCCATTATCTGTGTATCTACCTATCTTTATACAGGTTATATAAATAAATTATAACATTGTCAGAGTCACCGATACAAAAAAAATCTATATATTCCCATAACATCCTGGTGATTCCTGTATTTGTATTATTTTATTTGTTTGGGGGAGATCATCCGGATGTCATCTGTACGTGGATGATGTCCAACTCTGTCACTCCTTCCCACCTGCTGCTAAGGAGGCTGTTCAGGTCCTAAACCGGTGCTTGGCCGCTGTAACGGTCTGGATGAGGGCAAACAAACTGAAATTGAATCCAGACAAGACAGAGGTACGCCTGGTCAGTCGCAAGGCCAAACAAGGCATGGGGTTACAACCTGTGTTGGATGGGGTTACACTCCCCCTGAAGACGCAGGTTCGCAGCTTGGGTGTGAGCCTGGACTCATCGCTGAGCCTGGAACCTCAGGTTTCAGCGGTGACCAAGGGAGCATTCGCATAGTTAAAACTAGTGCGCCAGATGCGCCCGTACCTATACGCTCTGCTTACATCCCGTATAGACTACTGCAACGCTCTCTACGTGGGGTTGCCTCTGAAGACTGCTCGGAAGCTTCAAATAAATAAATTCAAGCTTGAAGATGACTGCCTGATACAGTTCCATATGTTTTCCTTTCCTGTTTACTCTTTCCATTTTGACTCCCAGATCTCCATAGGATGTCCATTCGTATATTTAATTCTCCTTTCAAACCCTGATCCAAATCTTCTCCCTGATCATATCAGTCATTCGGATGTTTTGGAATGAGTGATTCCTTTTTCACCATAATTGCAAACCAGGTATGGGCAACCTTTGGCCCTCCAGATGTTTTGGACTTCAACTGCCACAATTCCTAACAGCCTACCAGTGTCTTTGAGTCCAAAACACCTGGAGGGAGGGCCGAAGTTGGTTCATGCCTGTTGTAAACAAATGGTGTCCTTCAACCTTCTCTCCTTGCAGTGGATTGCTGGGACGGACCCGACGACCTGCCCATCATCTACCACGGCCACACGCTCACCTCCAAGATCAAGTTCTTGGACGTGCTGCACACCATCAAGGAGCATGCCTTCACCACCTCCGAGTGAGTGTTTTCCCTCTCCGTTTGCAATTTATGCCACCCTCCTTCCCTTTGGGGAGGTTGTGCTCCGACACCCCTTGTTGCAACTCAGAGTAAGCTTCACCTTGCTTCCAAACACCACCACACAAGAGCTGTAGTTTTATAGTTTGAAACCAGTTTCTGGGTTTTGGGATGTAAGTTTTGCTTCAAGGAAAAACCTGTTAGATCAGGCATCATTTGGAAATCCAAGTCAAAATAAAGAATAAGCATTGCAAAGTTCCAAAGATTAATGTTAAATGCAGAATATAGTTCCAAAGATCTTCAGGTAAAAGCAGGAGATACAATCTTATTGGCAAAGTTCAAACCAACTTAAAGAACTAGGTATACTTAGCCTGCAGAAGAGAAGGTTGAGAAGAGACAGGACAGCCATGCATGTATATGTGAAGGGTGTGATAAGGAAGAGGGAGTAGGATCTGGAGACAGGGACTCAATGGAGTCATGGGTTCAAATGACAGAAAAGCAGATTTCACCTGAATATGAGAAAAAAACTTCCTGACCATATGAGCTGTTCAACAGTGGAACTCTCTGCCTTGGAGTGTGACCAAAGCTTCTTCCTTGGAGGCTTTTAAACAGAGGCTGGATGGCCATCTGTCAAGGGTGCTTTGATTGTGCCTTTCTTGCATGGCAGGGCATTGGACTAGATGTTTTTAAGTGCAGGCCAAGTTCTTTAGGCACTGCACCCAGTGTGCCGATCACCACTGGGACCACCTTGACTGGCTTGTGCCAGAGTATTTGCAGTCTGATCTTCAAATCCTCGTATCGTGTCCGCTTTTTTGTTTCTCTTCAATCCTGCTTTTAAACAGGCTGGATGGCCATCTGTCAAGGGTGCTTTGATTGTGCCTTTCCTGCATGGCAGGGCATTGGACTAGATGTCCCATGTGGTCTCTTCCAACTCTATTATTCTATGATTCTAGGTTCCCCATCATCCTCTCCATCGAGGACCACTGCAGCATCGTCCAGCAGAGGAACATGGCCTCGCACTTCAAGAAGGTCTTTGGGGATATGCTACTGACCAAGCCAGTGGACATCAACGCTGACCAGCTGCCCTCCCCTGCCCAGCTCAGGAAGAAGATCCTCATTAAGGTAGGAAGTCCTCCTGTGTGCTGTCACCTGGGATTGCAACATCCATGATTCATACTTTGTCAATTATTATTATTATTATTATTATTATTATTATTATTATTATTATTTTACTGACACAAAAGCACAGTATGTCACAGGAAACGAAATCTATATACTGGATTTCATATCAAAAAATCACAAGTCAAACACTTCCTAAGCATCTAGGACTGTGTGATGTTTGTTTTTGTTGTTGTTGTTGTTATTGTTATTATTATTCTGACACAAAAGCACAGTATGTCACAGCAAACGAGATCCATATGCTGGATTTCGTATCACAAAATCACAAGTCGAACACTTCCCAAGCATCTAGGACTGTGTGATATTTATTATTATTACTAGCTTGGGGACCCGGCGTTGCCCGGGTTATTAGAGAAAGTGGGTAATGGCGGTTCTGTATGGCAAGTTTGGTCTTTATTGGTCTTTGGATAACGGCTGCATTATTTTCAGGAAGTGAGTGAAGGTACTTGAAGTCCCATCATCAATAGCCCATCCTCCTACAAACAGCAGCAGGATATAGAGTGGGTCATGGGGGCTCTGTGTGCCAAGTTTGGTATGTATCAGTCATTAGATGAGGGTGGCAGTGGTGTCAGTAAGTGAGTGAAGGTACTGCAAGTCCCATCATCCATGGTATCCTCCTACAAACAGCAACAGGATATAGAGTGGGTCATGGGGGCTCTGTGTGCCAAGTTTGGTCTTGATTGGTCATTAGAAGAGGGTTGCAGCAATCTTTGGAAGGGAGTGGAGGTACTTGAAGTCCCATCATCCATGGTCTGTCCTCCTCCAAACTGCAGCAGGATGTAGAGTGGGTCATTGGAGCTCCATGTGGCAAGTTTAGTCTTGATTAGTCATTGGCGAGGGTCTCAGTGGTCTCAGGAAGTGAGCAAGTGACTGCAAGTCCCATCATCCATTGTCAAATTCTTCCAAACCGCACCAGGATGTAGAGTGGGTCATGCGGGCTCTCTGTGTAAATTGTGGTCCTGATCCATCATTGTTGGCAGTTGTAATTGTCTTAGGAAGGGAGTGCAGGTATTGCAAGTCCCATCGTCCATGGTGCATCCTCCTTCAAACTGCACCAGGATGTAGAGTGCATCATGGAGACTCAGTGTGCCAAGTTTGGTCTTTATCGGTAATTGGATGAGCGTTGCTGTGGTCTCAGGAATTGCGCAAAAGTACTGCAAGTCCCATAATCCATGGTCTATCCCCAGACAAACACACACCAGGATGTAAAGTGGGTCATGAGAGGTCTATGTGCCAAGTTTGGTCCTGATCAGACATTGGATGAGTTTAACAGCGGTCTCAGAATGTGAGTGATGGTACTGCAAGTCCCATCATCCAAAGTCGATCCTCCTTCAAACTGCAGCAGGATGCAGAGTGGGTCATGGGGGCTCTGTGTGCCAAGTTTGATCTTGATCAGACATTAGATGAGGGTTGCAGCCGTCTTGGGAAGAGAGTGGAGGTACTTCAAGTCCCATCATCCATGGTCTGTCCTCCTCAAAAGTGCACCAGGATGTAGAGTGGGTCATGGGGACTCTGTGTGCCAAGTTTGGTCTTTTGTAATTGGATGAGGGTTGCAGTGGTCTGAAGAATGAGCAATGGTACTGCAAGTCCCATAATCCACAGTCCATCCCCGGCCAAACCACACCAGGACGTAAAGTGGGTCATGAGAGGTCTCTGTGCGAAGTTTGGTCCTGATCAGTCATTGGATAAGGTTAACAGCGGTCTCAGAATGTGAGTGGTGGTACTGCAAGTCCCATCATCCATGGTTCATACTCCTCCAAACTGCAGTAGGATGTCGAGTGGGTTATGGGGGCTCTGTGTGCCTATTTCGGGCTGTATTGGGAGTGCTCTGACCCAGCCCCCAGCCTTTCCTTTCCTCTCTTTCTCATCTCGGAATGTTGGATTTGAGGCTGGCCAATCAGAGACCATATGCAAATTTCCTTCTGTCATGCCCCGTTTCTGCCATGAACCCTCTTCTCCACCAGGGGCTCCTATTGAAGCTGGCCAATCAGAGACCATATGCAAATAGCACCACAGCGGCAGCCAATCAGAACGCTGCCACATACACCGCCCTCCACAATTCCTCTGTCCGATACAAACACTCTTCTTTATTATATACTAGCTTGGGGACCCGGCGTTGCCCGGGTTATTAGAGAAAGTGGGTAATGGTGGTTCTGTATGGCAAGTTTGGTCTTTATTGGTCTTTTCAGGAAGTGAGTGAAGGTACTTGAAGTCCCATCATCCATGGCCCATCCTCCTACAAACAGCAGCAGGATATAGAGTGGGTCATGGTGGCTCTGTGTGCCAAGTTTGGTCTTTATCAGTCATTAGATGAGGGTGGCAGTGGTGTCAGTAAGTGAGTGAAGGTACTGCAATTCCCATCATCCAAAGTCCATCCCCTTTCAAACTGCAGCAGGATGTAGAGTGGATCATGGGGGCTCTGTGTGCCAAGTGTGGTCTTGATTGGTCATTAGAAGAGGGTTGCAGCAATCTTTTGAAGGGAGTGGAGGTACTTGAAGTCCCATCATCCATGGTCTGTCCTCCTCCAAACTGCAGCAGGATGTAGAGTGGGTCATTGGAGCTCCATGTGCCAAGTTTAGTCTTGATTAGTCATTGGCGAGGGTCTCAGTGGTCTCAGGAAGTGAGCAAAGGTACTGCAAGTCCCATCATCCATCTCCAAATTTTTCCAAACAACACCAGGACGTAAAGTGGGTCATGAGAGGTCTATGTGCCAAGTTTGGTCTTGATCCATCATTGGATGAGGTTTGCAGAGGTCTCAGAATGTGAGTGAAGGTACTGGAAGTTCCATCATCCATGGTCCACCCTTCTCCAAAACTGCAGCAGGATGTAGAGTGGGTCATGGGGTGCTTTGTGCCAACTTTGGTCTTGATTGGTCATTAGATGAGTTTTGCAGCAGTCTTGGGTAGTGGAGGTACTTGAAGTCCCATCATCCATGGTCTGTCGTCCTCCAAACTGCTTCAGGATGTAGAGTGGGTTATTGAAGCTCCATGTGCCAAGTTTAGTCTTGATGAGTCATTGGCGAGGGTCTCAGTGGTCTCAGGAAGTGAGTGAAGTGACTGCAAGTCCAATCATCCATTGTTAAATTCTTCCAAACCGCACCAGGATGTAGAGTGGGTCATGCTGGGTCTCTGTGTAAATTGTGGTCCTGATCCATCATCGTTGGCAGTTGTAATGGTCTTAGGAAGGGAGTGCAGGTATTGCAAGTCCCATCGTCCATGGTTCATCCTCCTTCAAACTGCACCTGGATGTAGAGTGCGTCATGGAGACTCAGTGTGCCAAGTTTGGTATTTAATTGGTAATTGGATGAGGGTTGCAGTGGTCTGAAGCAATGGTACTGCAAGTCCCATAATCCACGGTCCATCCCCGGCCAAACCACACCAGGACGTAAAGTGGGTCATGAGAGGTCTATGTGTGAAGTTTGGTCCTGATCAGTCATTGGATAAGGTTAACAGCGGTCTCAGAATGTGAGTAGTGGTACTGCAAGTCCCATCATCCATGGTTCATACTCCTCCAAACTGCAGTAGGATGTAGAGTGGGTGATGGGGGCTCTGTGTGCCTATTTCGGTCTGTATTGGGAGTGTTCTGACCCAGGCCCCGGCCTTTCCTTTCCTCTCTTTCTCATCTCGGAATGTTGGATTT